TCTTTCTTTTCAATTGGTGCCTTAAAACAGTTTGATAATTTTAATCTCACAACATTCTGAGAATAAAATATTCTCTAGGGAAGTGTTTATTATAATGGAAGTTAATGGGAGGAAAAGGGTATTCAAAAAACACAATGTTGCCTTGTCAAAGGGTCAGGAATGAGAACGACTGCTGGACACATCCACGGATACTGTCACTCAGAGTTCTTGACAACGCGTGTTGCCAACACATGGCATTTCGCACTCTCTTGTGTTACCTCCTTTGAGGGTCACGTGAGGTAAGCAGGGTGAGGGTATGCTCTGTTTTATGGATGAAGCAAGTGGGGTCCAGAGAGAATAGGTGATTTGCCTCCAGGACAGAGAAGCAGCTGGAGGCAAAACCTGGGTGAGACAGGAAATGCAGTGCTCTGGGCTGTGTGCTCTGGGCTGTATTCTCTGTAGGTTTATGCATGTATGTATAAGACATAAAAATTAAATCTCCTTTATTTGTACACAGCTGAAGTTATTAGACTGTAATTCAATTTACAAAGAGAAAAATATAAACTAATAAATATTTGAAAAATACATGGTCTTACACCAAAGAGACTGGGCTGGGGAGGACACACAGTGTTCAGGGCTGGTGGCCCTTGAGTCAGGGGGACTTGTCTCGCACGGGTGAGGACTGCAGCACACACAATACCCGGATGTTGCCAAGGGCACACACGGATGGCATAATCAATGACAAATCAGAAACAGGACATGAGTTACGGGAGAGGAAAGAAAAAGAAGCTGGGGTCCATAGCCCAGCCCTGCAACTCAGAGAATCCTGAATGGCCTTGCAAAAATTAGACCTTGGGGTTAAGCGGGTAGACATTCACCTCCTAAAATCCCACCCGCAGGAGTGCTGAGTGGCAAAACAACCGGAGGAACTAAGCAGGCAGCTGAATGGAGTGTAACTCGTACACAAGAGCGCGTGAGCAACAGGAAGGGGCCGCCAGGGTGACCCAACCTGGAAATAATGCGACTGCAGACCCAGACTTGGGCCTGTGCACAGGGCACAGTTTCCAAACTTTGAAAAGATTAGCTGTTGATATCAATCACGCGCACAGTTCCGTTAGCTGAATGGGACATTTTGTTAAAGCACAAATCTGGTCTGCAGTCAGTGTCATTTGGATAATACACTTTTCTAGAAAAAAAGAAAATAAGAACCTCTGCTTCAAAACATAGGATGTTTTGAAGGTTATAGTCTTGGCATTTAAAAAAGAGTAAACAGCCTCTTGGCTTTTGGAATGTGGCTTAAATCATATTTTTTTTGGAGTTAGTTTCCAGGCAGAAGACAAATTACTCTACCATACAGTAAAAAATTATTTTTGATTGCCATACTTTTAAAATATATCAAAGGATGGCCATCAATCATTTCAAAGATATTCATAAAATGTTTGTGGTTCTATATTATATGTATGTTACTTGGACAAACATGGTATCTACTTATCTATTAAAGGTTAATGTCTAACAGGGGTGAGAAAAGCCAGAAGTTTGGGATTTAGAGAAAAGTGAAAGCACATAGAAGGGAGACTGAATAAGAAACACAGAAAGAGAGGGAAGGAGAGAGGGAGGGGAGAGAGAGAAAGAGAGAGAAGAAGAGAAAGAGAGAAAAGGTACTTCTGGAGAAGCTATGGAAGGATCTTGGCCAAAGGTACTGAAACTGGAGCTATTCACTGTTACGGGCTGAATTACGTCCCACCTAAATTCATCTGTTGAAGCCTTAATCCCCTGTACCTCAGAATGTGGCTGCGTTTGAGGATAGGGCCTTTAAAAATGCAATTCAGTTAAAATTATGTCATTAGGGTAGCCCTAATCCAATCTGACTGGTTTCTTATAGAAGAGAAAATTCAGACACAGACCCAGGATGTGTGCACAGAGGAAAGACCATGTGAGGACACGGAGAAGGTGGCTGTCCACAAGCCAAGGACAGAAGCCTCGGGAGAAACCAATCTGCCGACACCCTGATCTTGGACTTCCAGCCTCCAGAACTGTGAGAAAGCAAATTTCTGTTGTTTAAACATCCCAGTCTGTGTATTTCGCTGTGGCGGCCCTAGAAGACTAATGTATTTATTAAAACCCTCTGGAGGAGGCAGTGGAATTCACTCCACAGTGGAGCCCTCAGCTGCTCCTGCCACATGAGGCCCCATCACAGGGAGGAAAGTTCTCACATAAGCGCTGCCGCCCCGCCTCCCTGCACCTGCTCCCTACGACGGCATCCTTGCTTCATGAGCTTCCTTACCCGTCTTCCAGGCAGCTGCCACCAGTATCCCAGAGACAGCATGACAGACGCGGCCTACCTGTAACCGCACGTGGGCTATAGCTTCCCACAGTCAGGGCTGAGCTCGCACCACCTTTTCCCCTCGAGAATCCCATGTGGTGCCTGGCACGACTGCATGCTGAATCACTGCCAAACCTGTATCTTATAGTGACATTGTGCTTACTTTTTGAATAAAAGAAGTATCTCCTTTTATGTCTTTAACATCACTTTGAGCAAAGGAGCAAAAGGAATGCCTGGGAGGGGGATGTGACAGGGATGGGGGCTTGGGCCATAAGAGCTGGCGCTGCCCGGAATCCGGGGAGCAGAGGAGGAAGCCCATCAGGGAGAGATGGTCTCGGGGTGATGCATGGAGAGCCCGTGTTCGGGGCTCATGGTTGGGGCGGCTTTGGGTAGACTGGGTTTTTCACATGCTCTAGGGAAGCAGAGTGGGTGAAGTCTAATCGGACTTCTTTGTGGACTCTACTTCAGTTGACAGGAAAGAGCAGGAATGTGTCGGGAAAATTCCACAACTCCGTCAAGCCAGACATCAGCCCAAACTCCCCTAAGCCGCATGGAAGGCAGTGTGAACATGACACCAAGTTCCCCTTTCTCCAAAGCTGTCCATGCGGCTGGGGCCACAAAACAGTGGTCTCTGCACCTAGATTCCTACCTAAGATCCATTTTTCTGACAGATACTTGATTGTTGCTTTCTTCTTTCCGCTGTGTGGCCCGATGACGATGCTGGCCTGGCGGGGGGCTCTGCTGATCCGGCCTCCACACAGGTGCACCAGCTCACACAGCTTGGCCCTGGGTGGGCTGCTGGCCGGCGAGATGAACAGCATTGGTTGGTCAGCGAAGAGGGTTCCCCGGTACTGCCCTGCACACAAAAGGCGCTCATGTCGGCACACCTGTGGGGCAGACAGAAGGGAGAATCACAAAGCGGATCCATTTCCTTCTTTATTTAGAGAAGGTTAACTGTGAAGCTCATTTCCTTTCTAGGGAAGAGAATAGACTGAATGCAAGGTTGCACATTTTTGGGTAAATTTTGAATTCTGAGGACCCAGTGAAGACAATGACATCAATGACGTAAAACTGACATTTTCTGAAGCAGTCATAAGTAAAACTCCAGGGAAACAAATTTATAGGCAAAAAAAAAAAAAAAAAAGTGTAGGCATTTGAATTGTTACAAATTCTAAAACAAAATTTCGAAAAGTAATCAATTGTTCAACAGAGTCAGGAGAGCTGCACCTACATTCTGTAAATCCTGTTTAAGTAACGTGTACAACGTGTGTAAGCGAAAGCAAGATCCTAATGTTCTACACATACCGGTCACGCTGGCAGAGCATCATTCAATCCGAGGTGCTCCAGGGCTCTTGGCAGCAAATGACTTTTACAGAATCTATTAATAAGAAATGCTGTAAATCCAGCACCACGGTTTAGACCAGTGAATGAGGTGATACAAAAGTAGAATTCCTATAGCCATTCCCAAAACATATTATACTAGGTTAGGAGGAAAGATGTATCTCGAGGTTGCTTTAATGAGCTATTATGGAATTAAACAGTCACGAAGAGTGTCACAGACAGTGGAGAACATTCGAGAACCAGGATGTGAAACTGTGGTCCTTCTTACTGATAAGGTGCGGTCACCTGGTCAACCCAAGGGAGAGTGGGAGGGCTGTTATTCTAAACACACATTTTATTAACTGCAGATTAGTAAAGATGTCTTTTTAAGCACAAATACCTTCAGAGAGATGATGGGGGTTATCTGTCATTCACGTGTTGTTTGGAGAATTTTAACCTGCTTATTTCTCCTATATCTGAAATCAATGGCTCAGAGAAATTGGGGGTTTTGATAGAGGTATGTGGGAAAAGAGATGAAGGGGTCCTTCTCAGGGGACTGTAACCTGGGCTGGGGCGGGGGAGCCCTCTCAGTCAGGGGCAGCGGACGGGGCTGACCTGGGAGGTGGGAGGGCAGCAAAGAATACGTCCCGCAGACAACATCCCTCACAAAATTGGAGAGTGAATTGTTCTTTTGCTAGGTTTTCATATTACTGTCGCTTTTAACGAAAGAGGATCCTACTATGAAAAAATAGCTCCAACATTAATGGAATCGACCCAATACACTTAAATATGGCCATGGAATTCTTTTTCTCTCCCTCTGCCTGGAATTTTACAACAAAGAACTGAGCATTTAACAGCTGGACTTGCGTAAGTGGTGACAGGGCCTTAATACTGCAAATGATGATTCCTCTTGTATGGTAATGTTGTTAGTATTTTTAGCAATATTCCCTGTGAGATGGGTGGTGGAATGGGTTATTAATTTAATTTTGCAGACAGAGACCCTGAGCTGACGCATGCCAAGAGATTTGCTTTGGCTAAATGATGGCTCGGGCAGCAGAAACAACCCATGATCACTAGCATCCACAGCTTGGTGAATCACTGGACAAGGTGCACCGAAACAGGAGATCAAGAAAGAATATCTTTCCTGTTAAAGTAGGACAGAAACATACATTTAAAAAATTTATTATAAAAGTAATTGATAACTGAAATAAGACAGAAGGGAGTGAAGTAAAAGGGAATTTTCCTATGTTAGATACTGTTGTCTGTTACTCAGATCCACTCCTGTCTTTTCTTCCTCAGTGGCAGAACCTGGTCTTTGTCCAGGGGCTCTAACCTCTGAATGGCCACGTGCTGAAGATAGCGGCCGTCCCAGCCCAAAGGGAAGACTCAGGATTGGTCCTTTGCAAATGACAGGGTTAAGCACGGGCTGGACCCAATCCTGGCCAAATCGATCTGAGAATTAGTCTGCTGGTCGGACTCTGGGGGAGTTTTTCTCACTATTATAAACTGATGCGTAAGCAGAAATACCTCTCTTCTTTGTGGGACACGGCAAAGTCTACATGTGATGCCTGGATTACTGAGGCCACGGGACAAGCTGAAAGGGCCCAGTGGGAAGACGGGAAGCCCTGGCTCCTCCATAACACTCCTAAGTCACTGGATTGACCAAACCAGAATCATCCTTTCTTTGTCCTTTTTATGTCAGATAAAAGTCATAAATTCCTTAACCTACTTTTTTTTGTTGAGTATTTTGTTTCCAGAAGCCCAAAGTATCCAAGTTATAAAGTTCTCAGGCCCCCTGCCACTTACCAGCGGTAGCCACAGTTAAGAGTTTGCTGTGTATTTTTCAAAATTCTGTAAAATGCACACACAACGCACACACACACTGATATAGTTTTTCTTAACAACAAAAAAATGAGATCAAGTTTATAACTTGCTATGTGGATAAGCAGTAAAATCAAACCTGTTTTTAATCCAGTAGGAAAAAAAGTAAACCTTTCAAATGTTTAGAATGTGACTTCAGTAGCTACTTTGATTCTTCATTCTTCTCTCTGCCACACACATTTATCGAACGTTCACTGTCTGCTGGGCGCATGCAAGGTGCCGGGGGAGTACTGATGATTGAGATGGGGACCCTAAGCTCAGTTTAAAGCATGTAATACAAAAGCCAGTGAATTAAATGCTTCCTTTTCTTTATCTAGTTTGACGAGATAAAAGAAATCAGACGAGATAAAAGTATTGCAGAGGTCTGATTCTTTGCTCAAAACAATCGAGACTGTATGTAGTCTGACTTTCCAAACCTAAGTAAAATAATTTCTGGAGAAGTTTAGTCAAGATCTGGGCTACTTAAAATAAAAATTAATTTGGAAATTTACCTATGAATACATTCCCTGATGTATATAAGGATGTGCATGTACAAAGTGCTCACTGCCATAGAAACTATGGGGATTGGCATGTTTTATTTATATTATAAACATAATATAAATAATATAATTATAAGCAGAATCAATGCCAGGCATGTGATTCTGCCTATTATTGAGCTCAGTTAAGCTAACTCCAGTAAGAGAAGGTCTTAAGAATGGGACGCTGCCCCAGTGCTCCCTGGGGATAGAAGCTTTATTTTTCATCTCAGCCCCCTGGAACTCTCAGCCCCCACATCACAGGTACTCAGTGGTTGATAAAATCGTCAAAACACAATTACCAACACACAGCCTTACCCCTGGAGACCACTCTATGCCTTTGAAGGCACAGATCATAAAATTGCTTTGCTACGATGTGAGGGGACATTGCTTTAAGAATTCTGACCTTGGCTAGTTCACTTTCTTATCCACCAAAGCACCATTTCCCCGCTATTGGTACATTTTTAAAGTTAGCTGACAATTATAAGGCCACAAACAGCATCAGAGATTAACAGAGAGTGCTGGAGGCACCAGACCGTGTTCTCTTACCACACGTCCATCCGGCCTCACCCCACGGGGCCTGTGTGTTACTTCGAGAGCAAGGTAAAAAGCCTCAAATGCACAATGTCTGAAGTCAATTTGCTGTTGATTATTTTCACTGCCTTCTCAGTCCCTTCTGTAGTATCAATTCATGGAAATTTGCTCTATACATTAATTTCATTTCAAACTTTTTTACATGTATACACACCGCTCCCCCGCCCCCCAAAACAGGAGTGTGTAGTGTGTGCAGGGCACGTAGGCATTACAGGATGGTGGAGGGAACAGGTGTGAGTCAGGGAGCGATGGCTGGGTGGCCGTCGTGGTGTATTATTTCTGTCATTACCTCAGTGAGGACCTCAGAGATAACCAGGCTCATCTATATTGATCTAAGGGCTTCTAGCTAAAAGTGGTTAAAAGATAATTAAAAAAAAAAAATTGGAACTTTCATACAGATATAAAATGAGCACTTAAAGTTGTTCATTTTAACCAGGCAGTGTGGTGCACAGCTGTAGTTCTAGCTACTCGGGAGGCGGAGGTGGGAGGATGGCCTGAGCCCCGGAGTTCGAGGCTGCAGTGAGCTATGATTGCACCACTGCACTCCAGCCTGGGCGACAGAGCAAGATCCTGTCTCTAAAATTAAAAAAAAAAAAAAAAAAAAGGTGTGTTCATTTTATTTACCTTAGATGTCATAACCGGTTCAAAGGAGAATCTGAAGAACACCATTTATAGATTAGGAATATTGAAATGAACTTGCAAATGGGAAAAAAAATTGGCTTTTCCACGGGAGAGGGAGTATTCCTTCCACCAGACAGAACTCGTTTCCTGCCCACTGACAAGAGTGTTTGCATCACCACCAGTTCTTTACAGCTTAGGGTCGTAAAATAGCTCCAAGGCAATGAAAGCTGTGATCATATAACCTGGCAGGGTGTGCAGTCTAAAAAAGTACAGTTTTTCAATGAGGCACAAATTTTTCCCTACAGAACCCAAGGTGTCTCTTTAAAAGGAATCATGAAAGAAATGGGGATTCAGCGGAGTTTACTGACTGCTCCAGGGTTAAGTAGACTCTAAAGTAAACAGCACAGGTCAGCAGTCAGGGTGACTTCGGGTGGAGTTCAGAAGAGCTCCACTTTTCTCTGCTAATGGTGACCTCAAGTGATCATTCATACCTCAATACGTATACTTCTGTGTATATATAAGTCAGCAGACAGCCACAGAAGGCAGAAATCTGTCCCTGCCATGAGCTCTTCTTTTGGGTCCCCGGCTGCAGAGGATAAGAACCACTGCTGACCCTCTGCTAGTCAAGGCGGAAGAGACATTAGCTTTGCTTTAAAACGCATTGCCTGTGTTTGCTTTTGTGTCTTCACCAGAAAAGCTACTGATTGAACAGGTTTTAGCTCAGACCCTTCAAATCTGTTTACCTAGAAGTTAGCCAAGGCAGACCACATTGTTGACAAAGCTAAGCACAACAGAATTCCCCCCCTGCTTCTAGTTTCAAGGAATCCCAGCTGTTTATCCATGACCAAGAAGTAAAACCCCATGGAGGGCTGAAGGTTCATTACTTGAGCCCTGGGTGTTGGATTTCAATTAATGTACCTGCTTTTCCCGCTAGGCAGAGCTCACCTTTAAAATCA